AAATGCATTAAGTAGATAACTAGAGCTATAATATTCAATTAAGAAAGGACACTTGAATTTTCTTAATTTATATATTATTAATTTAGTATATATTTATATATTATTAATTTAGGATATATTTATATATATTTATATATTATTAATTTAGTATATATTTATATATATTTATATATTATTAATTTAGTATATATTTATATATTATTAATTTAGTATATATTTATATATTATTAATTTAGTATATATTTATATATATTTATATTATTAATTTAGTATATATTTATATATTATTAATTTAGTATATATTTATATATTATTAATTTACTATATATTTATATATTATTAATTTAGTATATATTTATATATTATTAATTTACTATATTATATATATATAGTGGAACCTCGATTCATGAATTTAATTTGTTCCTGAAGTCCTTTAGTAAGCCGAAATGTTTGTTAACCGAAACTATTTTTTCAATATGAATCAATGTAAAATGGATTACTTCGTTCCTGGTCTCAAGATGATTGCTTATTTAAACTTTAATGGCAGTACTTTGTGCACAAGTTTATACACAAAACTAATGAAAATCATTAAATCTAAGAAAATTAAATAAACCCAATACTAAACAGATAAAATATAGATGAACCTCTTAATTTTACCGTATCTGTAAGTAGAAGAGTTGATGCTATAAGTGGAAGGAAAGAGATGTTATTGTCTGGAAAGGGGAAGGAAAGACATGATCATCTCTTTATTTATAAGAAAAGTATAGATCGTTTATTTTGCCATATGAAACTGAGTAGGAACAGACAATATCACCAATTGTTTTTCTCTTAACTTTTCTTTTTCTTTTACCAGTATCAGTGCTAGCCTTCTTTGGAGCCATGACTGAGGACTAATAAAGAAAAAAAAAATGGCACAGTACAATAAAATTAGAAAAGAAAAGCACAGCACAATACACGAATGTATATAACATGGCGGTCGACTAAGAGATGATTTTGTTCGGGTTAACTCGGTTTAGCAATGTTGTTCGAGAACCGAAATTTTATTTGATAACCGAGGCATTTTCATCTCGAATATTCTGTTTGAAAACCGATTTGTTTGACATGTGAGACATTCGAGAACCAAGGTTTCACTGTATATGCTAAGAATTTGGGTAAATGATCCCCACAGAGCTATACATTAAATGACAACTGGGGAAAAATGTTCATGAAAGTATAATGTTATGAAAAAATATTCGATAATGTTCGTTTCTTTGTTTGTTTCAATTATTTACATACATACGTATGTATTTATGTATGGACCAGGGAATGTAGTTTGTCTGAGCACTTTCTATGGAAGTAGCAGTAGAGCAGAAAGAGGCTTCCCACATCCTGCCTGTAAGAGAGGGTTTGAAGGGTGGAGAATAATTTGTCACCCACAAGGAGACACTTTTGAACTCTATTAAGACTAGAGAGTGAGGTCTTAGCAGCTCCCACCCAGATATGACAACAGTACTCCATTTTTGGCCTGATAAAGCTTACTTGTAAAGCTTACTGTAAATTACTAGAGCAGTACCATTTTGCCTACATCCTTATCAACGGAATATGGTATGTTAAAATATATGTTATGTTTAAATAGTTTCATTTATAGCATGGGGATGAAGCAGAAGATCAAACGTTATCTTAATTTGTTACTTCAAGTTTAGTTTAATATTTAAGAAATATTAAAATGCATACAAAAAAAATGCAGAGTGACAATTTTTCGATATTATACAAGGGTAAGTCAAAAATTATCTGCTCTTTCACCATAACATATCTTTAAGTTTGCCTTCTGCTTGTTCATGCTTATGGTTGGTACTACTGCAGTTACATGATCAAAATTTGAGCTTGATCACGCCAGTTTTCTCTACTGCCGTTACAGTGTAAACATGGCCACTCCACTAGCAGTGTGCACTAAGGAGTAATAAAAAGACAGTGTGACAAACCTAGAGATATGTTATAGCAAAAGTGTGGATAATTTTTGAGATCCCCTCATATAAGTACACTGCAACTGCAAAATATAGCTGTCGTTTTCCTATTTATTTACCATGAGTAAATAAATATAAAAATAAAAAGTGTAGGAAAAAAATATTCTCGCAACAGATGGAAGGAAGACAACTGGTTTCTTAACAATGTCAGTGTATTTTGCAGCAGTAAATGCAGTCTTGAGTCAGCACATGCACACATTGAAAGGAACAAAACCAGCAACAATGGAATCCAGCAATTAACAGATTCCTATCTTGAATACGCCTCACCCAATACCAGCCACAAGACGCGGCCTATTTAATAAGAAAATTAGCACGTACATACTTCATGAAAAAAAAATCAATATAAAGAAAAATTTCTGCTACAGAGACAAAAAAAAAAAAATAACCCAGTTACTGTAAGGAAGAAATATATAGCCTTTTATTTTCTTTTTTTTTTTAACCCTTGAGGGTATTGTAGTAGAAACAATCTTGGAAATTAATTTGTGACCATATGTGGATATATATCATGAAATGTCATCAGACTGATATGGAAAAGGGAAATTCAAGTTTCTTCATCTGTAACCCTTTATGATAATCAAAAGCAAGCACATCGACGTTGAGTGATGGTTAATGAGGCTAGTCTGAACAATACTGCTGAATAATGAGTTCGATCTTCACCGGGTTCCATATACAAAATCCGACATAAACTTAACAAGAATTGACATGTCATAAAATCAACAAACTTAATCTAACCAAATCAATACCACAAACCTATCATTCTGTATCTGTTTAAATTTTTGAGATGAGGTATAATGTGCACTATTTATATTTTTCGGACTATCGTCCTCATCTTTGTTGCCATATTTATTACAATGTTTTGGCCGTTGTACGCTCAGGCCTTCTTCAGGTGGTTGGAATGTCGAACTGAACCCTTTATTTCAATCACTGGGGTAGACTGCTCTACACACATTTATACACACACACACAAAAAATTCAAAATTCTTTTTAATATACTGGGGGTGGGGGCGTAGTATTGTAATAAGCATTTCTATTTCTGATTAGTAAATATAGTTTTTGCTTAATAACAATATCACTTAACCAGTATGAATTAATACAGAATTTTAAAAGATTTAAAATTTTATAAATTATTCTAATTAAAATTAATAAAAGAAAAAAAAAGAAGCAAAACAATTCTTGTAAAAATTCATTCTTTTTTTTTTCTTCTTAGGACAATAGTGTCCATAATAAAGAGTGTTCCAATAATTTGGACAGATTTTAAATGTGAATTAAGTTTAAGTGTCTAATGATTTTTTCTTTTTCTTTCAGACATTTCGACGATAATATTTTTCACACATAATTGCCATGATTTAAATAACATGATCCAATAGAGAAATAAATAAATTTTCACCCATAACATTGATTTATTTACTGCTGACTTTGATCCGTCTTAATGAAACACCCTATATATCTTATTCATAAAAGCATTTAATTGCTTTTCTAATTAAATAATGTCTTAATTTTGTAATATTTTTTATTTTACAACTCAGAGTAGATTTTCAGCTACTGAGGGTCCTGTTTTACAAAAAAAAATTTATGATATAAGTTCTCCAAGGACTTTTGCTTATAACTAATATAAGCATTAAGTCATACAAAATTTAATTTTCTCGAAATGTCATAAAATTAAATAAGTGTGTAGGGGTAGTCAACAAAGGTAAAAAAAGGCATTTCTAAAATAATTTCATTCATTTGTGAATAAGTCATTAAAGTTTAATTAAAATCTGACAATTATTTTATTTTTACAAGAATTTGCAAATCGATGTGTTTTTCACAACAAAAAGACTAAAATTTCCTACACTAATTTATGGTATCACTGACAATAAAAAAAAAACAAAAAACTTTTAACCAAAATTTTGCAGGTTCTAAAAAGGATTAAAAAATATATAATTTAATAATCAAAAGCTTATTTGCTCTTTCTTATTAATAATAACAAAGATTTTGACAATAAATTTTTGTTTTTATTAAATTTGGAGCATTTTTTTTTTCATCATGTATGTTCATTTTTAGCGAATCTTTGGAGATATATATTTCTCCTTAAAACTTCCTCATTTGTTGCATGACCTGTCTATGGTATTTACAGCATTTGTCTGTCACCTCAAGTCAAAATTGTTGTCTTGCTCTCACTGCCATGTATGGAGAGTAGACAACACACAAAAGTTCAGTCTTTTCTACATTTTTATGTAGTTTTGTTGTCTCTTAAAACCTTATTTACTTTCTGAAAAAGCATCTTTCACTATTTCTATGCACCTTTGAATTTGTCTTGTACTTTCCGTTGTCTGTTAACAGCATTGTCCAGTTAGATGTATTCCCTCTTTTATTTAATGTCGACGTCCACAATGTGTAATTCACATACAGTGTTGTCCATTTTGCTCAATACCGTGCATTCTGTAATGAATGGTCACTCCTACCTGAATGCAAAAATGAGGGGTGGGGGTCGTACAGGCGAATTACAGAATTACATGTGATCATGTAATGAGAAATGTAAAAAAAGGAAAGTAAAAAGCAAAATGGATTAAAGCTGTGACATGGGGAGGAGAAGTGCAAAGGGACATAGCAGTGATTTATTAATATTCATCTCACGTCATTTGGGTGGCCCGTCAGCAAGATGGAGGGTGGAAGTAAGTTCTTTTTATAATGGAACAGTGTAGCGTGTCTGGAAGTTGTATGCGCTAGAACAACAATTAACAGATAACGGGTTGGCCAGCATAGAAGTGAGGGGAAGAGGAGCAGCAGAGTGTTGTCATCAAAAGTAGGGTGATAAATCAGTTCTTATCTTCTGGCCCAATGGTACTTGATGGTGGGAGGTAAGATTGTCAATAAAGTGTGGCACACAAGGGGTGGAAAAAGTCAAAAAGAAAGGGAAAGTTAAAGATAAAGTGAAAAGATAAAGGATTGATAAGAAAGATGAATAGAGAAAATAGATGGGGGGGTGAAGGCAGGGAAAGAAAAGGTTAATCCAGATCAGAACAAGGAAACAGGTAAAGACAGAACAAGAGGAGAGAAAGGAATGGACTGGAAGAAAGAAGGAAACAGAGAGTAATAGAGTACAGAAAGGATAGAGACAAAGAGTAATGGGAGAGAGAAAAAAGTGTGAGATAGAAAGTAATAGAAAAGAGAAAAAAAAAAGGAGGCAAAAGAGAAAGAAAGCAGGTGAGTGAGAAAGAGCATGGCAGAAAGAAGAGAATTAAAGAAAAGAAAGAAACAGTGGCAGGAGAGAGAGAGACAGCGAGGAAGTGGCAGGAGAGAGAGAGACAGCGAGGAAGTGGCAGGAGAGAGAGAGACAGCGAGGAAGTGGCAGGAGAGAGAGAGACAGAAAGAAGGCAGAGAGAGAGAAAGAGAGGAGAGAGAGAGACAGCGGAAAATGGCAGGAGAGAGAGAGACAGGAGAGAAGTGGCAGGAGAGAGAGAGACAGAAGGAAGTGGCAGGAGAGAGAGAAAAAAAAAGGTGATGCAGTAGTGGCAGGAGAGAGAGAAAAAAAGGTGATGCAGTGGGAAGAGAGAGAGAGAGAAAAAAAGAGTCAAGCAATGGGAGGAGAAGAAGAGAAAAAAGGGTCAAGCAGTGGAAGGAGGAGGAGAGAAAAGGTGCAAAGCATTTGTAGGAGGAAGAGAAAAGGGGTGAAGTAGTGAGTGAAGAGAGAAAAAGGACAAGACAGTGTGAGGGATGAGAGTAAATAGAACCAAGGTAGTAAGAAAAATGTGAGACCTAGTGAAAAGAGAGACAGAGAAAGTGAGAAGACCTAAGTGAAACAAAGAGAGACCAAGTGCTATCGGAAATAGCTGGACAAAAAGACGGATGGAAATGGAAGGGGTAGTAAAATGTTTAGAGTTTTGTGAAAAATACAAGAAAGGAAGAAAATGAGATTGCAATAGAGTTTTAATGAATTTCTATTATTTTGTGGATCATGTAACTTCTAATTTCCTTTTGCGTCTAAACAATCTTGAGAACAGAATACAATGAATGAGTGCAGATGCACTAAATTGCAGATCACCCAGCCATTCATTCAATAAGAAAAATTAAGGATAACGGTGGAATGATGATTAACAAATACACAGGATATTATAGCAGACTGTTCTTTTGTCATCCCCTTTACAATGGTGTTAGCTACATTGATACCAAAATCAAAGGTAGTAGATAGAAAAAAAAGAATGTGAAACTAGACTGCAAAGGTGGTTTTTGATTTAATGCCTCCAGGCCCATTCAAGTTGAGGAGAGATTAAAGGGCTCCATTTTAAACCAACTCTAAAGAGTTATAAACTAATCCCCTAAAATCTTCTGATGGTACCACCCCAGTTGTCTAGTCCACCAGAAAAAAAAAATTCTACATGTGTAAATCGACAGTGCTTAAATGTTTACGAAAGAAATGTTTTTAAATAAAACTTATCCACACGTGCACAAAAGTTTTATATTTTGTTACATTTCTAAAGTTTTAAAATCATTATTGTTTGTTGTTGTTATGGGCAGCCGGCTTCCAAGTAGTTAGAATGTTTGCTTTTTAGACATGAGACTCCAAGTTTAAATCTCATCATTATCGATTTGTTAGGGAGGTGATTTCTTAATTATATCGGCCTGGAGAGCTCACAGCACATTTGAAAAGTGCCTGAAAATCATACCACAGGCTAACCCAAGTCTTGTGATTGAAATTCGGTAGATGGAGCCATTCGGAAGATGTTGATGGTTGTTAATT